GTCTTCACACAGAGCAGACGTGTGCTCCCACCTCACTGAGTCCCCCACAGAGTGGCCTAGTGCACCCACACACCTCCTTGAGTCCTCCCACCTCCCGGAGTGCTCCCACCTCTCTGAGTCCTCCCAGAGAGCGGACCCACGCCCCCGCCCACCTCCCTGAGTCCCCCGCGGAGCAGCGGGGACAGCCCCCGTTTTTGTGGGCGCGCTGCCGTTTGTGTCGGGGGACATGTGAGGCTGCCGTGGGCTCCGGCGGCATCAGAACCGCCCGGGCTCGGACCTGCAGCTGCCAGGGTCACCCCGAGGGCGACGGCACCGTTGCTAGTTTGGGGATGTCTCAGCCTCCCACGGGCGGGGCGTGGGGCCGGGCGGTGCCGGCCGCGTGTGCCGGGGGCCTGGGCCGTGCTCCCGGCCGTCTGCAGAGGAGGCTGCGGTGGCTGCGCTGCGCTCCGGTTCTGTGGCACCCCGGCCCCGAGGACGGAGACGCGCCCAGAGCCGCCGCGGCCGTGGGCCCAGGGCAAAGTCCTCCTGCCCTGCGTGGGTGGGGGGTGCCGGCCGCTGGGAGGGAGGGGCCGCGCGCTGGGGGTGCGGGCGTCCGGGGAACTGGGGCGGAGCCGGGCAGGGTGGGGGCTCCAGCCCCGCGCGCCCATCCCTGGGTCCCAGGGGCGGCGGAGGCGCCCTGCCAGGGACCTGCCGCTTCCTCCTGCGGCTCAGGGCTCCCCCATGCACGGCGGCCACTCCGGAAACACGCCCTGCCCTCCCCACCGTGCCCCAGCCCGGCGTGGGTGCAGCCACGGAACCGCCTCCCTCGGCGGCAGCTCCCGCGCCCCGCAGGCTCGGAGGAGCCGCAGGTGCTCACCGTGGTGATGTACCGCGAGTGGAACTCGGACGCCTCCTTCAGGAACGACAGCCCCGGGTGCGTGTTCACCACGTCCTAACGGAGGGAAGACACGGGATGCGGTGTGGATGCCAGACTCTCGTGAGCGGGGATGAGGGGTGCGGTGTAGACAAGGCACCCCCCGTGAGAGATGAAGCGTGCGGTGTAGACGTGGGTGAGGCGTGCGGTGTAGACGCGAGTGCGATGTGCGGTGTAGAGTCGGGTCTGGTGTGCTGTGTAGACGCAGGTGAGGAGTGCGGTGTAGACGCATGTGCGGTGTAGACTCGGGTCTGACGTGCCGTGTAGACACATGTATGATGTGCACTGTAGACTGGAATCTGGTGTGCCGTATAGTGAGGCGTGCGGTGTAGGCTCAGGTGAGGCGTGCGGTGTAAACGCGGGTGAGGCGTCCAGTGTAGACGCGTGTGTGGTGTACACTTGGTCACTGTGCGGTGTAGACTCAGGTGAGGAGTGCGGTGTAGACGCGGGTGAGGCGTGCAGTGTAGACGCGGGTGAGGCGTGCGGTGTAGACTTGGGTGAGGTGTGCGGTGTAGGCTCGGTGCGTCGTGCAGTGTAGACTCGGGTGAGGCGTGCGGTGTAGACGCGGTGAGGCGTGCGGTGTAGACGCGGGTGAGGTGTGTGCTGTAGGCTGAGTGAGTCGTGCGGTGTAGACTCGGATGCAGTGTGCGGTGTAGATTCGGGTGCAGTGTAGACTCCGGTGACGTGTGTGGTGTAGGCTCGGTGCATCGTGCAGTGTAGACTCGGGTGCGGTGTGCGGTGTAGACTTGGGTGATGTGTGCGGTGTAGGCTCGGTGCGTCGTGCGGTGTAGATGCGGATGCACTGTGCGGTGTAGACGCAGCTCTCACCTGCAAGAATGGCACGAAGTCCTCCTGCACCAGGTAGTTGCATCCGGGGCTCATGAGCAGGTGGACGAACTTGGCGGCATCGTCGTGGCAGTTGTGGAGGATTCTGGAAGGACGGGATGACTGGGCGCCCCCCGCACAGACGCAGGGTGCACGGCAGGGCAGGCGGCCACACACCACAGCCGGCCCGTGCCCAGGGGCGGGCTCCCCTCTCGCGGTGGCAGCCACGGGGGCCCCCGTCCCGGTGCCGTGTCCACCCAGGGCCGCCTCCGCCCTCCCGCCACGGCCCCTGCCCGGCCCGGGACTCACTTTCTCCACATGGCGACGAACTTGTGCACAGACACGGAGCCTGTGCGCTCCCCGCCGGCGCCGTAGAAGAGCGGCCCCTTCCAGTAGAGGGGGCAGCCGCAGGCCTGAGGCAGAGAGGGAGGGGGGCGGTCAGCGGGCACCGGCAGCTGCCTCCTGCGCCCACCTGACCCACGCGGCCCGCAGATCTCTGCTGCGGGGAAGAGCATTCCGCGGGGCTCTGCGGTCTGCACGCTCTGCGCGGACTCTGCTCCAGCCTTTGAGCTCAGTGAGGACAGCTGAGCATGGGGGTGCTGTCACACAGTCCCCCCGACCGGAGGCCGTGCTCGGGCACCATGACCGGGGCGGCTGCATCCTCAGCGTGTGGAAAGCCGGCGGCACCTCCGAAGAACCGGTGCAAATGGCCACGTCGGCGGCACACTGCGTGGAATGTGACAGCGGCGGACACGTCCCATGGAGTGTCTGCACACGCCCGCAGCAGTGACCGTGGCAGGTCCTCCGCCGCAAACACACGTGTGAGGAAGGAAAGTTTAAAATCCGTCATGCACACTTCCCCCAAAGTCACACACACGGCAGAGACGGAAGGGGAACTACGGGGAGAATCACCACAATCAAAACTCGGCGACAGGAAATATTGCTTGAACGTTAACTCTGGCCGGGCACGGGGGCTCACGTCTGTCGTCCCAGCACTTTGGGGGGCCGAGGCAGGCGGATCACGTGAGGCCAGGAGCTCGAGACCAGCCTGGCCGACATGGCAAGCCCCCGACTCTACTAAAAATCCAACACCTAGCTGGGTGTCGCACTGCACGGCTGGAATCCCAGCGGCTCGGGAGGCTGAGGCACGAGAATCACTTGATCCCCGGAGGCGGACGCTGCGGTGAACTCCGGCCTGGGCGACAGAGACTCCATGTCAAAACAAAAAGAAAGAAAACAGAAACGAGCCACGTCAGCCACAACCACAGATCCTGCAAATACCAGCGAGTCCGTGGACGGTCACGGATCCCTTCCTGCCTGTTCCTCGGACGATGGTGAAACGCTCCCGGATTAGCACTTGGAGCCAAAGGAGAAACGAGACAATCTGAAAGGGCTGTTTCTGCCAGAAACTGAGGCCACAATTTGGAACCTTCCCACCAGGAAAACCGCCGCCCACAGGCTGCTCCCGTGAGTCCTACAAACGCTGAAGGAAGGAAGGACACACGAGTTCCCCCGGAGATAAAACGCGGGCGTCCGAGGCGGGCACAGGCTGGACACCGTCAGGGACCCCGAAGTCAGAGGCCGGTGATCACCCGGCAGCGGAGGCAGAAATCCTGCACGGACACACGCCGGCAAGTCCAGCTCGGCCATAATTTACAGGTCACAAGCGTGCGACAGACCAGGAAACCACACACAGAAGGGACACGCTTATTGTAATCAAGGGTGCGATGTCCTGAATGCATGCTCCCCGAGAGTCACGTGCTGAAATCCTCTCCCCAGGTCGATGGCGTCGGGAGGTGGGGCCTCGTGAAGCGGATGAGCACCCTTCTCTAAGGGGCCCCCGGGAACACCCTCAGCCCCTCAGCCCTGTGAGGACTCGGCGGGACGGCACCGTCTGTGACCCAGGCAGCAGGTCCGCCCCACCCTGCCCCCCGTGACCTTCCAGCCTCCAGAGCTGTGAGCAATGAATGCCTGCCGGGCCGTGGTGACGGACAGAGACCCTGTCCCTAAAATAAATAAATAAATAAATAAATATAATACAAATGATGATCTATCAAGACCGTTAAAAGAAAAATCAACCGAAGGAAAGACGCGAGAAAAATGGCACGCAGTGTCTACAAGGCAAACCGCAGGGCACGGCTCGGTGAGATCCAAGGTGACAGAAGCGTGCTGAGGCCGACTCCCGGCGGGTCTGCGGACGGGCACTCCCTCCAGGCCACTGCCGGCCTCCCGACCAACGCGACGCCCGTCAACAGGCGCCGAGCCTCGCTGCTCTGCGGTGTTTACGCACCGACAAGCTTGTGTTAAACCTTCTAAGGCCAGACACAACAATTCAGGGGGAAGCCGGCTGATGGTGTAAGTCCGGCCGTTTCCAGCCCTTCCCACAAAGTCGGAGTGATGGAGACGGCAGTGTGTCCATCAGCTGCCGCCGGACTGACAGGAAGGCAAGGGGAGTTACCTGCAAACTCATTAGCTCGCGATTTAAAAAAAATCTGCAGTAAATGGAGATGATCAACTCTAAAAATGCAAAGATACAAAGGAAAGCAGCTTTTCCTGAATGTTACAAAATCGTTATCGTAGGGGGAATAAAACCTTAGGTAATGTGATTTGACTTTTGTTTTCTCTTTTGAGACGGAGTCTTGCTCTGTGGCCCAGGCTGGAGCGCAGTGGTGGGATCTCGGCTCACCACAGCCTCTGCCTCCCGGGTTCAAGCCATTCTCCTGCCTCAGCCTCCCGAGTAGCTGGGACCACAGGCGTGTGCCACCACGCCCGGCTAATTTTGGTGTTTTTAGTAGAGACAGGGTTTCACCATGTTGGCCAGGCTGGTGTTGATCTCCTGACCTCGTGATCCGCCCGCCTCGGCCTCCCACAGTGCTAGGATGACGGGCGTGAGTCACCTCGCCCGGCTGTTGTGACTTTTAAAAGCGTTTTCCTGATGGACACACAGAAAGACGCAGTCCTTGTGGGGCCAGGTGACGCAGCGGCACGCCCACCCCCGCACGGCGAGGACAGGGAACGAGGCCAGCAGCCGTGATGGCCCCTTCCGCCCCTCCGCACACGGAGACAGCCCTGGGCCTCCTCCCCGTGGCTGTGGTTCCCCTTTCCCGGGCCACAGAACGGGAGCCTGCGCTCTGTGGACTTTGAGGCCTGGCTTCCCTCGCTCAGCCACGCGTCTGGGACTCAGGCACGCTGCTGTGTGTGGACCGTCTGCTCCAGGGCTGAGGAATCCTATTCCCGTCCGGCTCTGCTGACCTCAGGGGAGCGCCTGAAGCAGGAAACGCCACCGGTCCCCAAGCCCACGCTGCAGTGCTTCGGGGACGCTCGCGAGCAGGGCAGAGTCCTGAGCATGTACACGGGCACGGAACCAGTGGAAAACGTGCAGAAATGCAGCGTGTGAAAATGCCACCCAGCAGGGTGAGCACACGGCGTCACAGACCCGCAGGGGCCTTCAGGTGGGGCCAGCGCTGGGTCCCCGCTCTGCCCCCCACCCGAATCTCCGGCTGAACTGTGATGCTGGGAGGTGACAGGGTCCTGGGTGGGCCTCCCCCTTGCTGCTGTCGTGGCAGTGAGTTCTCGTGAGACCCAACGGTTTAAAAGCGGTGGCCGTGCCCGCTCTGCGCGCCCTCTGTCCTGCCGGCTGTGCAGAAGCGGCCTGCCTCCCCGCCGCCTTCCTCTGTGCTTGGCAGCTTCCTGAGCCACGCCTTCTTTTATGCTTGTGGAACTGAGTCAAACCTGTTTTCTTCCTAAGTTTTTTTTTTTTTTTGGTCACCCAGGCTGGAGCGCAGCGGCGCGATCTCACCTCACCGCAACCTCCGCCTCCCAGGTTCAAGAGAGTCTCCTGCCTCAGCCCCCGGAGTAGCTGGGATTACAAGCATGCGCCACCACGCCTGGCTACCTTTTGGACGTTTAGTAGAGATGGGGTTTCGCCACGTTGGTCAGGCTGGTCTTGAACTCCTGACCTCATGATCTGCCTGCCTCAGCCTGCCGAAGCACTGGGATGACAGGCGTGAGCCAGCATGCCCGGCCTCAGGTAGTTCTTCATGGCGGTGTGAGAACAGACTCACACAACCGTTTCCCAAGGCGTCTGCAGACCCAGAGAGTCAACCCTGGCTAACGGAGAAGGACGGAAGTGAGTGCGTGCCTCCGGCCCACGGCAGAATTAAATCACAAAACACCACAAAGGGACGTCTGGAGAATCTCCAGATCCCAAACACAGAATGACGCGCTGGCACAGCAGAAGCCGGAATCCGGCCGGCACGGAATAAACACAAAGCACGGTGCGTGGACGTGGACTAGCCCGCAGAGTGCCACGGCGGAGGCGGTGCGGAGGCCACGGCGCACACACGGGGAACGCGGAAGGGCCCGTGGCCACGGCTGCCATGGCAGAACCTGCAGTAACAACACCCCGGACCCCGGCGTGAGCAGAGGACAGGCAGAGATCGGAAGTCAACGCAGCAGAACATCGTCACTGAAAATCACTAAAACTAAAAGCTGCAACTTGAGAGAGGAAAACCAAGAAAATAAAAAACTCAGACGGAGGCAACCAAGCTGACTCATGAAGGTACGCACGGGCCGGGCGTGGTGGCCCATTCCTGTAATCCCAGCACTCTGGGGGGCCGAGGCAAGTGGATCACCTGAGGTCACGAGTTCGAGACTAGCCTGGCGCAACATGGCAAAATCCTGTCTGTACTAAAAACACAAAAATTAGCCGGGCGTGGTGGCGGGCGCCTGTAATCCCAGCTACCCGGGAGGCTGAGGCAGGAGGATCGCTGGAACCTGGGAAATGGAGGCTGCGGTGAGCCAAGACCAAGCCACTGCACTCCACGCTGCGTGACAGAGCGAGACGTGGTCTGGACGGCGTGTCTCTATTCAAACAACTCCAACTGCAGTTAAAAAAAAACCTTCCCACAGAGAAAAGTGCCCCCAGTGGCTTAACTGGTGAATTCTACGAAACACTCTAATAAAAACGACACTCATTCTAAACAGAAGTCTTCAGAAAGCCAATACTAAGGGACGTTTCCCCAGCGACTCCCCGAGGCCACTATCCCCCAGATGCCGAACCAGAGCAAGCCGTCGTAGGAAAAGGAAGCTGCAGGCCGGTCCGTCATGAGCACAGATGCGACCCCTGCAAGGCCTGGCGGTGTGGGCCCCACACGGGAGCGGCGTGACGCGGCGTGGACCCCACACACGGGAGCGGCGTGACGCGGCGTGGACCCCACACACGGGAGCGGCGTGACGCGGCGTGGACCCCACACACGGGAGCGGCGTGACGCGGCGTGGACCCCACACACGGGAGCGGCGTGACGCGGCGTGGACCCCACACACGGGAGCGGCGTGACGCGGCGTGGACCCCACACACGGGAGCGGCGTGACGCGGCGTGGACCCCACACACGGGAGCGGCGTGACGCGGCG